TCCTGCTAATTCTTTTTCTTGGTTAAATCTACATTTTAGCCCATTCTTTTGAGAAAAGGTAAAGGCAAGGTGTCTTACGTCTTTTGAAATTAGAGCATAATTAATTTTTTCTAAACTTTTTATATAAGATACCAGTTTAAGTTAATTTTCAATACCTAGCGAGGCGGTTGGTCCAATACTTCCCTTTTCAAGATTGTTATTCTTTACACGTCTCATCAAGGTTCGTAGAGGGATTCTACCCAGATAGCACAAATACGTCTTATGGACGTTCTAAAAACGTCCTGCTTGGACATTCAGGACATCCTTAAAACGTCCATTTCACGGACGTTGACGTCTTATGGACGTCTTTGGAACGTCCATTGTTAATAATCAGGATGTCTTAAAAACGTCCATTTAAGGACATTCCATGGACATTTTCAAAAGCTTAAATGGGGAATAATAGGATGTAAGGAAATTAGTGAAAATAATGAATAATTTCAAAAAAATTTATTTGGAAGCAAATAACCTATAAATAATAAAATTATTGAAACTTTTTCGTCAAATTCATTCCGTCTCTCCTCTAGGTACTTTACGATTTTCAACCATGCCTGGATTGACAGCAGTTGTTTTTTCTTGATTTGGCCATATTTGCCTTCTCAGTTGAACCTGAAAATAATTTAATCCCTTATTCAAAATGAAAGGCAGATCAATATGAAAATCCAATCTTTTTGTTAAAGTTTCCCTGCTAGACATTATGAATTCACTAACCTTTTAGCTTTGTAGTATTCACTGAAAAACTCCTCTACTTTATTCTTTTCAATCATGCCTGGATTGACAGCAGTCAGTTTTTTTCTTGATTTGGCCATATTTGCTTTCTCAGCTGAATCTAAAAATAATTTAATCCCTTATTCAAAATAAAAGGCAGATCAATATTAAAATCCAATCTGTTTGTTTAAGTTTGCCTTGCTAGACTTTATACATTTCCACCTTTCTCAAACATAAAAATGGTACAAACTGCAAAAAATTAACATTCATCAACCACAAACTCACAGAGTCGAATCACAGTCAAATGGCGGGATGATAGAACTTGTACTCGTAAAATATGTATATACCATCGAATCATGAACATTGAACACATGTTTTTTCTTTCTTTTTATAAAACCTGAGTCTTGAGAATATTTCAGTGCTTGAATCTTTAATAAATTAGGCATTCCAACGACCTGTCCAAATGGCTACCAGTGGGTAATGACAGTTTAGATATGGCAACCCTGTTGTCAAGTTGTCATTTACAGGGTCAATGATACATATATAGTTATATAGATTGCTCAAAGCTGGTCGTTTACGAGCGGCCATATTGCCTGGCAAATATTTATTAATTTGAATCGGTTTAGCAAAAATGTGTTTTAAAACCAATTATTAGCCTTTAGATATTTAAAAAAAATAATTGCTTACATTTTTACTTCAAGGCATAAGCTTATGTTTATTTTGAAAAATATGGATGATCAATCTATGTAACTATCTATTTCATTGACCTTGTCAAATCACCAGGCCTACAGGGTTGCCATAATTTTGCCATATCATAACCCACTGGTAGCCATTCAGTTTGGAACAATGACATATATAGTTTAAATAAACTGCTTATCCATACGTAAATAAAACGATGAAAAGCGGGTCGAACTGGGAGATGTTTTCTCTTTGTCTAGTGCATGCAATGTTTGTGTTTTGTCTCAATTTTGAGTGCTCACTGGTAAACAAAACTTTCACAGGACCGGTTTTAAAGAAAGTTTAGTCTAGTTGAGATTTTGTTCTCATTGTCATTACTTAGTCGGACATTTTGTTGAATTGTTTATTTTATTTAGTTTTAATTATACTTATGTTCTGTTTTTAATTATTTTTTTATTATTTAAGTATAAAAACTTGTTTTGTTTTTAAATTTAAATGGTGAATTGCTCTATAAAGGGTTGTAAGACCAGCTACAGAAATATAAAAAGTAACATTTCATTTTTCAAGCAAGTATCAATACAAGTATGTACAAGGTAAATACGTTTATAATAATTTTATGAATTATAATTAATTATAATAATAATATTAATAATAAAGTATTTATTGTAAATACAATTACATAAATATTATTATATTCAAAGGCCCGAGTTAGAGCTATCTGGGCTTTACAAGTACATTTTAAAATTTAGATACAGAGAAGTATCGTATAATAAAAACTCAATATAAATAGAAGAAAAACGGACATAAGTACCAATACAGAGAGAAACACTTTTATTATTTGATAGGTTCTTTCTATGTGAATTCTAGCTCTGGAAATTTTGGCATTAAGTAAAGCCTCTTGATGGCTGAACTAATTTTTTTTATTGAGGAAAGGAGGCTGTATAATTTGTATACCTTCAGCTTCTGTTATGTTTCCAATAAGAAAACCTTTGTTAAACATTTTACTATCGAGAAATGATACACACACTTCAAGTATTGAACTTTGTTAAAAAATGTCTATTTCTGAAGTTCTACCACCATATGCTTCACTTTTGTAAGTAATAAGACCAGTAGGTGACACTCCAGTCAATATTTTAATAGTATGCCTCTTTTTGTAGTCAGAGTAATTTTTTAGCCTACAACAAAGACATTACTCTTACTCTTACTTACATAGAGGCACATATTTTAATATTTCTTGTTTTGAAGGCCGAATTATACCATACTAAGAACTTCTACCAGTAGTATTAAAAAATGTTAAAAAATTTAATGATAAAAAGTTTCATTCACTCCAAATAAAATGGATAAGACATTATATCTTGCATATCAGTTTTCAACTTCATAAAAGTAAATATAACTTGATCCTTTACAGACATAAATGATCTCCTTTTTCCTATTCTTTAGAAACAACGAATTCCACAATGGTGGCTAATAACTGGAAGGATTGCAATCCTATTAAAGTAGATAGTTCTTTAGCACTGACAATTCTGTTTGAAAACGGATCAACTAAATCACCACTCTTCACTTGTGTTGAATAATCGATCCCAATTTTCTGCTTTTAAACGAAGTTTTGTAAATTAAGCAAAGCTCTTCAGCAGCACACAAATCTTCATTATCTGCTTCAGTAGTAGATATATGTTCATTAACTGCAAAAACACATTAAACATAATAATAATTAACCAAACATTTTAAATTATGCATACGTACATCCATTGCCTGAAGAAGATAACTCAACACTTAACATTCTACTAGTACTGGCAACATATCATTATTTAAAGACAGTAGCTATAATTCTTGTTTTAGCTGGATTACTTTTCTTTTTATTAATAGTCGCTTTCTTTTTACCACTAATCTGAGCTAACTTACATCGACTAAGCTTAGTTGTACGTTCTTTTTGTGATTGTAAGTCAGAATCTTTCTTTCCCCCTTACCGATGCTAAACGGATCTTGACGTCAACTAAGATTGCACTTTGTACCTAGTTCATTTTACTATGATGTTGATCAGATTTCCACTGGTGGAATCTTATTATTATTCATCAAATCATTCACATTCACCGCCAAAATAATCCTTAATTGTCTAAAGGGAACAAATTTTAGAATGTGAAAAAGCTACTTACTTTAAGTAAAATCTTTAAAAAGTTCATTCAATTTTTGCATAATATCTGCTTTTATAATGCGAAATAAATTTTAAAAGAATAGTACCACTATACAGTGGTCGTAATCTAAAGTTAATTATATACACATGAGTGTAAAATTGTTTATATCTATCTTCAAAATTGGTTAGATCTCTTAAAATGTTTTGAAAATTGGGAAACTAGACGTTATGACTCAAAATCCTTTTTTAAAATATCTAACGCAAGCTCCTGTCTTGAAATAAACATACAGATAATTTTTTTTTTTAATTTAATTCCTACTTTGATGAAATATGAGTTTTAAACTCATTTGGGCCAGACCGATTCTACCTGGTGAGCACTTGGCAAGCCAAGCAATATGACCCGCTTTTCGTCGTCTTGTTTATATATGGATGAGCAGTCTATTAATCTATATATGTCATTGGTTTGGAATGCCTAATAAAAATAAAAAATAAAATGACACTTGTCAGCAATGTCTCTTTCTTGTAAATGACCTTCTTCGGTTTTGTCTATTTGGCCTTTTTTCAATTGGATATTGGGACAATGTTATCTTTAATAATTATTTATATTATATCATTATATATGTTTTTTATATAATATAACCAAATAATAATGCAATGCGAATGTGAATCCATGGAAATACAGTAACGCACGTAAAATTAACGTTCTGCGGATATCTATTTCTTGACGTCCCGAGAATTTACTAAATTGGACATACTTAAAACGTCCATAATTGGTCCTGGACGTACAGACATGGACATTTAATGGACGCATTTGCACTCTGTGTTGGCTGCTGACGTAAAACATTTGCAGCTGCTCTAAGGTCTTCTTCAGTCCATTCGCCTCTAGTTGATTTTCTGACGTACGTTCGTGGTATTTTACCTAAAAGAAACAAGATAAATTGAGAAACTATTCAATTAGACGTACTGAAAGGAAATCACTAACCAAAATAGACATAACCCTGAGAAAAAACAAGTGTTACAAAGTTTACAGTGCAATTTAAATAAGGATATTGGCATTTTATCCCAACCCTTAGGTGTAAGATGCCAAACTCACTAATCAAAATAACAAAACCTTTATTTTCATTCAAAATATCACAGGAATATTGTAATGAATGCCAAAACCCTACATAAATTATATTAGCACGAACAAAAAACATTTAACACTGTATATTACATAATTAACTTTTATCGTAAAAAACTTACCGGCATAAAAAATCACAACATCACCTCATGGAACAGTTGGGTGCACTTAAACGCTTCGAAAACTATGACGTTCTGCAATAATAAACACAATAACATTGTGGCTGTGTATGTGGCGCCATCTATTAAGCATTGTCCAAAATACTTAGATTAGGCATCTTCCCTCTTTTATTATTTTCCCCCGCAATTACCTTATCTGTTTGGTACAATGGGGCGAAAAAATATAATTCAAGTAACTTGTGCACAAAGGAGAGTCCACATAGAAATTAATTAATGTCTAATATTTAGCTGTTTCCTTATTGCAAAAGGTGAAATTTTGTTCTTTGTCCGTTGTTAATTAAATCTAATTAATTGGTATTTTTTGAATAATTTCGTTAAGATTTAAATAAATGATACATTAAGGATTTTGTAGAATATTAAAAAGTTGATTTGAGAGTACAACCATTCTTGGATTTCTAATTTTAGCTATGAAAAAAGATGATTTTTATAAGGAAGCTCACCTAAGAAGGCATCTTTATTGGAATGTTTTTCAAGGCGTAGCAGAATGTGATATTGATGGTTTGAATGGAAAACTTGAATGGTTCGGCAATTATGTTAGCTTCTTGGATTCCATGCTTCAAATATCAATACTTGAAGAAACATCTAGACACTTTTTGTTACCTTGTAAAATTAGAAAAGTTGTTATAGATCCAATCACGCATTATCAAGAATGTCAAAATGGAAGTAAGTTGTATAAATATGCAATAGTTATGACTAGGTACGCATTAAATTTGGATAAAAAGTTTTATCACTTCCCTTGCAATAATAAACCTACATAGATGTAATGGATGTGATATTTAGTTGCTAGGGGGTTTTCCAAACTGTTGCGACATTATTTCACATTTTTGTTAGATGCTTGCATGATATAAATTAACCATATAATTAAATATTTCTAATAAACTAATTTTTGTTAATTCAAAATAGTGTTATTTTCTCATTATTTATGATTCAAGGTAATTAAAAATGTATTTAAAATATTAATTAATTAGCTAATGATGGACCTGCAAACATTTCCAATATTTAATTGTTAATTATAAATATCTTATTTTAGGTATCAATGTAAAGAGAGATCCCTACTGCAATATAATAAAAACGAAAGGAATAGAAATTTCTGGAACAAAATTCACGAAGATTTCTTTGGCTAAAAAACCGCAAACGGACCTTTTACTGGAAACTTTTAAATTCGTTCATTTTGACTCTCCAGAAAACAATAACTATGATTTTAATACATCTTTAATAATAGCTTTACAGATCGTAATACAAAACACACCTGGTTTGATAAAGAAACTAACAGTAGGAGAAGTTAAACAAACACAAGATACTAGTGATTTAACTAATCAAATAACGCAGATTCTTCGGAATCAAGTCATGGTTGAATCAGAATATTTGGTCGTTAAAACAGATACACTTAATGAAATCAAACAGAGGTTTGAAGTAATAGTTGTAAAACAAAACATCATGCAAAAAGCGGATTTTAAAATATTTACAAGTATTTTAAGAGACACCGGATTTCTTATTTATGTAGGAAACATAAATAAAGAATGTTATAAAAATGTCGATGTTATATTTCGATCTTCTAAATTATGTCTTTTGCGTTGGAGATATAAATTTCCAAGAACATATGACACTATTAATATCAGAATTTATGATTTTAAATGGTTGGAAAAACTAAAAAAATATGCTCAAGGTTCAGAGAAGAGAACTGTTTTCTTATTTAGTCAAAATGAAGCGTATACGGGAATAATTGGTCTACAAAAATGCTTAATGGCCGAAGGGACACAAGTAGAATTTAAAGCAGTTTATATTAACAACCAAAAAGCAGACATATTTTCCGTAGACGATGAATTTTACAAAGAACAACTTTCCAAAGGTTTGGCACTAAATGTTTTAAGAGATGAATGGGGGACATTTGTTCACCTTCCTCTAGAAGAAATTAAACCGAAACATTTTGTTAACGCAGGTGTTAGCATGAGAATGGATGGAAATTTGTCTACAATAAATTGGATTGAGAAACCGTCCATTTTCAAGTAAGTTTTTAGAATATTAAGTACAAAAAATTATCAATTAACTTTAGAACAGTGCCTTTGAAAATTACAGTTTCAAAATAAATACAATTATTAATAAAAATGTTATAAAAAAAATTAATATTTTATTATATTTTGATGACTATTATTTGGGTAGTTTGAACCCAAACCCCAAGTTTACCACAAAAAAATAATGCGCTAGTTCAGTGTGATGTTAATTTGGTTCCACTGACATTTAATTCTAACCAAACTTTTAACAAAAACATCAATAAATTTGACATATACGTTTTTACTGTTTTTAATTTATTTCTAAATATTGTAAGGGGTTTTCTCGCCACAGAGAAAACGGTTTCTTACGAATGACGCTGGTTACGGGCGGTTCTCGAGCACCAGATTTTTGATGATGGTTTACTCCACAAACTTTTAAAATGGCGTTGAAAGTACTCGGGTAGCTACAGATGGAGATGAAAAATTCTAGGGGTCAAAGGTCACTTAGATACAGGTAATAGTAGGCCACAAGTAACAGGCTTTAATCGTTGCTTGGGCTCGTACAGAAATTATCACTAGCTGAAATATAAGGGGGAAATAAAGTAGGGAATTATTAACCAATAATACGGCAGGTTAACATTAACACATATATTGTGATTAACTATTTACAACAACAAAAAAAAGAAATTAAATATTTCAACGCCCACCCTAGTCGTGGTGATAGTCAATATAACCCTGAATAAATATTAAAAAAAAAAGAAACAAAACGGATGGTATTGATTCGGGACTAATTTTAATCAGACGTCAAAATTAAATTAAAATAAAATGTATGTTTCGGTCGCAGAGAAAAAAAAATTATTAACTTGGCTATTTACTCGGTAAATAACTGTTTAACCGCGGTATCGGCAATTAAACTAAAATGTAGATATTTTGTTATTTAGGTAAAGAAAAATTGGTTTCTATTAAAATAAACAGTCATAACATATCGATACCTTTTTGCCAGACTAACTTAAGCGACATTTGTTCAAGTGGCACTTATGATAGTCTGGCAAAAAGGTATCGATATACTCTATACTTTATAAAATATTTGTTACATTACTTTTTAAATATATTATGAATATATAACAACTGTTACTTTCTTTATAATTTGTCACAAAATGATACGAGGTACTTTCTAAAGGAAGCAATTGTAGTTTGTTTTTCTGTACCTTACAAAAATACAATTTATAGAAAAAAAGTTTGGTGTATTATTTTTCCAAGTTTAAATATTTAATATAGAATTTTCATGTTTTTTTTAGCGAAATTTACAAGAGTAATAAAAACTATGTTCACTGCTTATATTAAACTGATTAAAACTTCCTTTATTAAAATTATTATTTATATGATAAAAAATTTGATGTTATTGGAAGCTTTTATATTTTTTTAATATACAGTGAAACAATAGTTTTTGTTTCTCCTGTAAATTTGTATAGAAAAACTATTTATTTCTGACTGTTTAATTTTCCCGCTATTTACTAGTGGCGCCATCATAGACTGGTTGTGGTTAAAATCGCCCAAATAACTTTTACCGAACAAAAAAAATACATTGAGTTACACGTCTCGCTGGATTGTCTCTGTCCATACGGTGTTACTCGCTTGTGACCGTTCATTATGACCGATCGTGTATAAGAGCTATAAAAGCGTCGATAAACTAAGTAGGTAGAAATATCGAACTTAAAAGCATGTTTTTCAATTCTTTTTTAGAGCCCATTCCAACTGTGAAATAATAAACGTTCATTATGCAGCTTTTAATTTTAAAGTTCATAATGTAGCAACTAGCAAGATTATAGATGAACATGACAATTTTGGAGTAGAATACTCAGGAATAACCAGAAGTAATAGAAATGTTATGGGTTTAGTGCAAAAAGGAAGTCTAAATTTAGAAATAGCCAGTAATCCAGATTTTACATGGAATGTACCAACATTTTGGAGTTTACAACAAGCAGCTACTGTTCCATTAGCATATACAATGGTAAGTTGTAGTATTAGTACAGTCTGATTAAAATAGCAGCATAGAGAATAAAGGTTAATTAATATAGCATAGGATAGATGTATAAGTTATGTAATTTTTACTCCACAACTGGTTATAGGTTATTTTGTAGATATTATGGCAAATTTGAACATTGTTTGCCATTATCATTTACGACTACAGAGTTTGCATTCATTGTAATTAAAAATGTAAAACTCTATTGGACTTTTAAGGTGATTTCAATGATCTACAAACAAATCTACAAATTTTAATATTATCAACACCATCATCATCAATATCATCATTGTGATCCTCATTACCATCAGCAGCATCAAAATTGATTAAAGGATTTAGATAGTTTCATAATCTCGACGACCGTGCAGATAACTCAGTTCAGTTCACTTCATTTTAAAAAAACTAAAGTTTTTTCTACCTGCTTGTTTGTATTTCTATAACTTGTTTAGTTATTTATTCTTTATTTTTAAAATTATAATATCATGATTAATATTTCTTATATTTTTGTTCATAGGTCTTTCCTGTGCCTGTCATTTTAGTATTTTCTCTCCTGTTGTATCTGTAGTATCTATGACTCACTTTTTTGCCTATTTTGTTTTCGAGCTATTTTTTTTTAATAAAGTATTGTTTATAACATAAATTTTGCTGATTGGTATATTCTAGGTTTTCTCATTATATCTAGATTACAATATCAACTCTCGTTTATCAACTTAATTATTAATTTTATGAAAACATTATCACATTATATTATAACTGATCGATTATGTATTTATACAATTCTTTTATTTTTAGTGTTACTATGGTTTAATTATAAAAGCTGAAATGAAGAAAAATAACACAATTTTAATTCACGATGCAAACACTGATATTGGAATAGCGGCTATCACTACAGCTCTTAGTTTAAGTGAAACAATTTTTGCTACAGTCAGCTCAATTAAAAAACAAACATACTTAAGAAAATTATTTCCTCAATTAGATTTCGACAATATTGGTAAATTTTTTTAAATTTTTAATATTATTAGAATAATATAAATAATGAGAAAAACAGTTATACATTCCAAAATTCAAGGGGAGATAAAAAACTAAAACAAAATTAAGAAAATTATTTTTAAAAACATCAACTTCGAACAGGCTCGAACCTGCAACATCTGGGTTAGGTACTGTTTTAACTCCTTTCAACTGTTTTCAACTACTATTCTCTAGCTAAAGGAGAATGTACACTTTTGTACCACCCCCAATAGGAGTAAGATATGTGTTAAATAAAAGGATAACATTAGTTTTTATTATGACTTTTCTCAATTATCTGTCTGCTTCAAGTTATACTACATGTGACGAAACCGTCTGTATTAACTATGTAGGTTTTTGGCTAGTGGATTCTGACACAAATCCCTCCCTTCATTTCCCCGGCTAATGCGTCTTCGGGAATATTTTCAGGAAGGGACAAGAGACAAAGTTTAATATAATAAATATTTCTGAACACTTTAATAATTGTTCCTACTAATATTTATATTGTTACGCAGCACCCTGTAGCGTGCTGCGGTCATCATAAGTAAAGGTACGAGTAAATGAAGAAGATAGAATATTCCCGAAAAGTCTCAAAATGTCATACCCTGTCCAGATTGTTCGAAAATGTTTCAGAAGTGGAGGTAAGCTATATAAGGCGACGACGTGACGTCAGAGTTGGAGTTTTATGATAGACGTTAAACGTTAATGTTATCAGTTAAAGTTATTGTGTCAGTTGAATTGAGTTATTGTAAAAGTTGAGTTCAAATAAATTGTTATTCCAAAAACCTGTGTAACATTGGTGACAGCGGTGGGATATAAAATAAAGTTACTCAAGCATTTAACTCATGGTAAATACAAGATTTACGGCGCACGAAGCAGATATGGACACTTTAGGCCCACCAGCATGGTTTTTGAAGATGGAAGAGGAGAGAAAGAGGCGAGAGGAGGAAAAAGAAAGGCGTAGGAAGGCAGCAGAGGAGGAAAAGGAAAGGCGAAAAGGGGAAAAGGGAAGGCGTAGGAAGGAAGAAGAGGAGGAAAAGGAAAGGCGTAGGAAGGAAGACGAGGAGGAAAAAGAAAGGCGTAGGAAAGCTGAAGTAGAAATTATGAACGGTTTGCTACAAATCCAGGAAACCTTCAAGCAAGAGGTTAGTCAGCTTAAAATTAGAGTAGATCTGTTAGAGCAACAAAAAGAGCATCTAAAAGCTAATTTAGAGAAACAGCTAGAGAATTTGAAAGCTAACTTAGAACAACAAGAACAGGCTAGAGTAGAGCTGGAAAGGCAAATTAGAGCTAAAACGGCTAAGTTAGAAAAAAGAATTCACACCCAAGCTTCAGTAAACAGCATTGAAGCTTCAAACACTACTACCTCGTCTTCATCCATAACCGAAACAAGCCACATTCGAATCCCAGTTTCACAAAACTATACAAGCAAGACCCTCAAGCCACCCACGTTCGACGGTCAGTCAACATGGGAGTCATATCGACTCCAATTTGAAGCTGCAGCTAGAGCCAATGGCTGGATCGAGAAAGAGATGGCGGCTTCATTGATAGTGTCACTGCGAGGTCAGGCAGCAACCGTTTTACAATTACTTCCCCAAGAAGAACCCAATTATTCATCTCTCGTCCAAGCTTCGGATACAAGATATGGCCAGCAGCATTTGCAACGGGTATTCCAAAGCCAGCTAAAGGTTCGCAGTCAGAAACATAATGAGAGTCTACAGAAATTCGAGGCTGATATAAGGTTGATTCATCTGGCCTATCCACAGGTGCCGAAAGATTTCCAAGAACAACTCGGAATATAAGCATTCGTTGATGGACTACAAGATGTGAAAATGCAGTAGATCCTTCGTCTATAACATCACAAGACGCTGAGGGAGAAACTGATAGCATCCCAGGAATATGAAGCGGTAAAACTCCCATCCAGATCTTCTCGCGCAATAGTGAGGAAAATTAAATCCCCAGAAAGTGACGAGGCCAATACTAATGTTATTTCCCAAATCTTAAATATCCTACGAAACAGCTAAAATGAAAGCAGGAGATGCTTCAATTGCGGAAGAGTCGGACACCTTCAAAGAACCTGTAGAAGCATGGCCCATTCTATAAATCGAGAATCAGCGAATGAGACCGGAAAATCATATAAATCAATATTTCCAAGTCCATCACTAAGACCAACAAGAATTAATTATAGCAGCTATGCGTCCCGAAGAAGCCAATCACCCACACCGAGCCCGCTTTCTAACAATAACCAGAAAGTAGAGCATCGAGGAGGTCTCCATAGCAATGCAGACATTCTCTTCGGACAACCCCGTTTAGAGAAACAATGCTGGTATTGTAAAAGGCTCGAAGAACGAGAAGAACCGGTTGATAAAGTTATTTTTCGGGCCGCCACTATCAAGCCAGAGGGTGACGAAGAAGAAATCACCCTTGAAAATCTGAGACAGGGACAGAAGAAAGACAAGGACTTAAAGGTTGTCCGAGAATGGCTGAAAAATAAAGTCACACCTACTTGGCAAGAGATAGCCAAATACAGTAGAACTATAAAAGGCTACTGGACCCAGTTGGATTCCCTGTATCTTCACGATGGCCTATTGCACCGAAAGTGGGAGAGCCCCGATAGAGTTCATGTAGTCCCAGTAATCAAGTTATTCGAGGCGAATACCCAGAGAGGAGGGAGCAATGTTACGCAGCACCCTGTAGCGTGCTGCAGTCATCATAAGTAAAGGTACGAGTACATGAAGAAGATAGAATATTCCTAAAAAGTCTCGAAATGTCATTCCTTGTCAAAGGAAAGTCCAGATTGTTTGAGAAGGTTCCAGAAGGGGAGGCAAGCTATATAAGGCGATGACCTGACGTCAGATTTGGAGTGTTATGCTAGACGTTAAACGTTAATGTTATCAGTTAAAGTTATTGTGTCAGTTGAATTAAGTTATTGTAAAAGTTGAGTTCAAATAAATTGCGATTCCAAAAACCTGTGTAACAATATCAATAAGTTTTATTATACATAGACAATGGAATTATAAGGTGAGCGCCCCTTATTGACCCCCCCACCCCGCCCCTACCGGACGACTATGCCCACCGTAAGTTGTTTCCGACATTCACACATTAGTCTGGATTGTACCTTAGAGATCACATGATATCACTCTAATCTTATATTTTATGGAGTGTAGAGGAAAGGAGGAGAATCTCATATGGTTGCTTATCTCAAAAATTGTCCACCCAAAAACAGTAAATAAGGTTTTAGAAAGTGACAATCAAAATGGCGCTGGTGTACTAGAAGAGAAAGAACCAATGATATATAGATTGCTCATCCATATGTAAATCAGACGACGAAACCACTATTGTCGTCTATTATCAAAATGTATCTACGATTATAATCTTAGTCACTTCTCACGATAGCTTTTCCTGTTGTAGTTCTTAGTTTTTAGGCTATATCCTTCAAGCATCTCGTCGCCCTTATCACGAAGTGGCATAAGTATCAAATAGTATATTTTACAGAAAAGCAATAAAACGAAAAAGCGTATTTCTCAGATTGACATAATATAGAGAGATTTACAGCCGTATGCATAGACGATCGCCAGCGATTCGCCAGCGGATCGCTGCTAATACCGCCGAGATGAATCTCTGGCGACTCGCTGGGACTTGCTGGAGATTGTCACCGGCATGTCATCTCTCGCAAGTATTTATGTTATTTTATAGGAAAAATTAGTTTTCATGTTTTATTATGAGGAAAAATTTGATATTAGTTTATTGTTTTTTGAGTGTTAAGAAATGAATCATGATTAACATCTCTCGCATGCAATAATGTAACACTTTTACATTTAAATTTATTAATTTAGAAATACATGTGGTTATAGGGCGAAGTACCAAAAAGCTCTCTCTCTCTGACTAATGTTCGATACGAAGTCGGGATAGTCGGGAAAGTTTCGTTCGCGCACAGCACATATAGCTCAGTCCGCGATGCTGGCGCAATTTTTATATCAAATGTTCAATGCGCGGTAAATTTAAATTATACTGAAATTCACCATACACCTTGTGCTTTTCAGGGCCATGTTCATCAGTTCTTGGTGGTACCTGGTATGGTTCATGTTCATTTGTGAATATATTTCCTTTTAAAGTGTGTGCTCATGATTTTCATGTCTTTTTATATGGCTAAATTTATTAGTCTTAGACCGTTATTATTGTTTATATTGTGCTTGCTTTCACCTCCCGTTATATTTCTGTAAATTTATCTTCCTTGCCTACTTTTGCGTTTGCTTCTGCTGGAATTTTAGAACTTTAGAACATTACTGTGCGCAATTTTATAATCCAATAAACTATTTGAAACAGATGTTTCCAATGCCTACCCATATCACTAAAATAACCCCAGAAAGGTTCTAAACTTTGGCAGAAGTCTGAAATTATTGGACCAATAATCAGTGCAAAGTGCTAAGGTACCTTAAATATATGGATACAAAATAAAATAAATAAAACTAAAAGCCAATATCATATAATTACGAGAGACGGTTTCCCTTCAGAAAACAACTACTCCTTTGGCTAATACCGCAACAGGTATTTAATTATATCCGAAGAAAAGACAGCACAGATAGAAATTAAATTATTAGGACTCTTCAGCAAAAGTCGCAATTATTGAAGGGAGTGAGTAATAATTCCATAATACCATTATAGATATGAAGGAGCGATCTTTAATTTATTAATTTTTTTCTTTGGAATCCAATGGTAGACTGAATATGACCCCTCTTTATCTTCTGTTGGATTAGATTTTTATAAGATTGACCTTTTTTATTAGATTTCATAACGTAGAAGCTATTTTAAATTAATAATAGTTCCCCTTGTTTTTTTTCCATTTACGGTATTTGTAATACATTTTATTAAGATTTTTATGTTTTTAGGTATTGCAAGTGAATTCTCTTTTGAAAATATAGTTAAAACGAAAACAAAAGGTAAAGGTGTTGATGTGGTTCTTAACACTCTTAGTGAAGAATATCTGGAAGCATCCTTAAACTGCTTATCCGAAGGCGGCGTTTTTTTGGAAATTGGTAAAACCATTCATTCAAATACAACATTAATAGATTCCGACCTAATCTTTTCTAAACAATGCCGTTTTCATAGCTTAATACTGAATGATATTTTTGAGGAAACTTCTGAAGTTAGAAAGCAGATTAACAACTTAGTAAAAACAGGTAAAGTTTATTTATAATTTCTCATGCAAATTATATGTGTTCATATCTTTTTTAAATTTTGCTTGGCTACGAAAGTCACATATCGTCCACACTATAGTAGATAATAAAAAATATATAACACCGTTTACGTTTAGTAAGTATATTTTTTGTGTATCGTAAATCAAAAAAAAAATAATAAAACATAATTCGAACTAACACTAAAATATTCAAAGTCTATATTAGTTAGTACTTGATAATTAATATAATGTATAATTACTATGCTACCCTACCATAACAAAACTCAGTTGAAGTGAGTTTCGAGAAAACAAAATTTTCCGCAATACCTCAAGTTAAAAAACAATTTAAATACCGCTGGATTGTTTAAAATTATTTTTTGGTTTTGAATACTTTTGAAGTATAAGAATATGGGGCCCATTATACTATACGTGTATAAATATATATGTCGGAGGCTTATGGTAAAATCTGTCTTATTATAATAATACGTCTAGGCTTTTTCAATACGACTAGGCATATTAGAATACTACCCAAATAATTAAGAATCTCACAATTTGACTGATCATTTCAGCCTGTCGCTTGTTAGTCTTATTGTTAAATTGAAGAGACGCGCAAGTGTTTTAGAATCCGACTAGATGAAATCCGTCGTATTATAATTTATAATACCACTGACGATGTGCCAGGCGAATCGTGTTTATAATACGACTGGCGCATGACGGTGTGCTATGCAAACTATACTCAATCATTGATTTTAAACGCTCTAAACTATTTAAAATAAAAATACAAATAATAGTTTAGGATTATTTATTACAGCATGGTACGCTTTTAAGACATTTATTGCTATGACACTTGTCTTGCAAGAAGACTTTTTAAATCCCTGTCCATCGAATTTTGAAAATAACCTTGAAACTTTTCTTAAGATACCATTTCGGTAGGCGCGTCAGGAGACAGGAGACCACCGAGACGACCCCAAAGACGACAGACGCATAAATGTTAAGCTACCATTTCGCAAGCCGAGACAGAGACCGACTTCAAAACGCGCCGCGACACTAAACGGTCGCTTTACATCTGAACCCATGTAATTATATAAAACACATTTCGGTCGATGCGACAGATGACATCATTTTTAAGGTACCATTTCGATAGGCGCGACAGACGACCGCCGACGCGACCGAGAAGTGTCGCTTCACATCTAAAATACATACAATTATATGAAACACATTTCGCACAACGCGACACGAGAAGTGTCGTCAAGACGACACTTCCTGACGACATTTCTGAATCTGTCTCGGGGAAAAGCTTTGCTGCGTGTCGCACTCGAGGTCACTGTCCTCGAGCATCGCTTCTTTTTGGAGGTGATTATAGGTTGGAAATTTCTTTCGATCTAGGCAGCGTTGCCAGATTTTGGAACAGTATGGGTAAAAAAAAAACCGTAGATCTGAACAGTAGATTTTAATACAGGGGGAAATAATTATAATTTGCAGTGTAATAAATAAAAAAACAAGTATATAAGAAACGAAAAATAAACTTTTTTCTAAACAAATTAGTAAGTAAACAAAGAATAAAAACAAATAAAACATTTTTAATATATACTTAACGTACGGGAAAAAACCAATGAAAACTAATAAGTACCTACTTCTTTTAGATCAGTCTACAGGTAATTCAAAATCGTAGTGTTTCGCATATGCATGTTCTTTTTATGATGCCCTATTAATTCTTTGTTTCATTTTAAATAAAAACAATGATTATCTTGATGTTTTTTTTATGGAGCCAACCTACAGTAGTGGATGCCTTATTACGCTGCTTTTACTGCAGAAAATTTACTAGAGAAAATATTCTTTAACTATTTGCTGAAGAATGAGGCAAACTTAATAAATTAAGAACAAAATTTGATCGAGACAAAAACAGTAGATCTACGTACAAAGAGTAGGTCTGGCAACGCTGATCGTTCCCTCGAATGGTTTCAATGTAAGTGTCTCGCGACCCGTCTCCAAGCTTCCGAAATGTACGGAGCGTAACATTTATGCATCTGTCGTCCATAGGGTCACCTCGGTGGTCTTCTGTCTCCTGACGCGCCTACCGAAATGGTACCTTTAAGGTATCATTTTGGTATGCGCGACAGACGACCGCCATCGCGACCGAGAAGTGTCTCTTCACGTCTTAAATACATACAATTATATGAAAAACGTTTCGTACGGCGCGACACGAGAAGTGTCGTCAAGGCGACACTTCTTGACGACACTTCTGAATCTGTCTCGGGGCAAAGCGTTTGCTGCGTGTCGCCCTCGAGGTCACTGTCCTCAGGCATCGCTTCTTTTTGGAGGTGATTAGGTTGGAAATTTCATTCGATGTAAGCAATGTTGCCAGATTTTGGAACTGTATAGATGAAAAAAAAACCGTAGATCTAAAAAGTAGATTTTAATACAGGGGGAAATAATTAAAATTTGCAGTGTAGTAAATAAAAAAACAAGTATATAAGAAACCAAAAATAAACTTTTTTTCTATCCAAATTAGAAGGTAAACAAAGAATAAAAACAAATATTAACATTTTTTAGTATATACTTAACGTACGGAAACAAAAAAAACAATAAAAAATAAGAGGTACCTACTTCTTTTAGATCAGTCTAAATCAGGTAATTCAAAATCGTAGTGTTTAGCATATGCATGTTCTTTTTATGGTGCCCTATTAATTCTTTGTTTCATTTTAAATAAAAACAATGAATATCTTGATGTTTTTTTTATGAAGCCAACCTACAGTAGTGGATGCCTTATTACGCTGCTTCTACTGCAGAAAATTTACTAGAGAAAATATTCTTTAACCATTTGCTGAAGAATGAGGCAAACTTAATAAATTTAGAAAAAAATTTGCTAGAGACAAAAACAATGGATCTACGTAAAAACAGTAGGTCTGGCAACGCTGATCGTTCCCTCGAATAGTTATCCTGTAAGTGTCTCGCGACCCGTCTCCAAGCTTTCGAAATGTACGGAGCGCAACATTTATGCATCTGTCGTTCTTTGGGTCGTCTCGGTGGTCTCCTGTCTCCTGACGCGCCTACCGAAATGGTACCTCTCGTATGGCAATATTTGCCACTTCACTGGTGTCTCGGTCTCCTTTCGCGGGCTTCGCGTTCCCAAATGGTACCTTTACGCTCCGTACATTTCGGAAGCTTGAAGACAGGTGGCGAGACACTTGCGGGATAACCATTCGAGGGAACGATCAGCGTTGCCAGACCTACTGTTTTTACGTAAATCCACTGTTTTTGTCTCTAGAAAATTTTGTTCTTAATTTATTAAGTTTGCCTCATTCTTCAGCAAATGGTTAAATAATATTTTCTCTAGTAAATTTTCTGCAGTAAAAGCAGCGAAAAGCATCCACTACTGTAGGTTGGCTCTATAAATAAAAACATTAGGATAATCATTGTTTTTATTTAAAATGACACAAAGAATTAATAGGGCATCATAAAAAGAACATGTATATGCCAAACACTACGATTTAGAATTATCTGATTCAGACTGACCTAAAAGAAGTAGGTACCTATTATTTTTCATTGGTTTTTTTTTGTTTCCGTACGTTAAGTATATATTAAAAATTTTATTATTTGTTTTTATTCTTTGTTTACTTTCTAATTTGGGTAGAAAAAAGTTTATTTTTCGTTTCTTATATACTTGTGTTTTTATTTACTACAGTGCAAATTATAATTATTTCCCCCTATATTAAAATCTACTGTTCAGATCTACGGTTTTTTTTTTACCCATACTATTCCAAAATCTAGCAATACTGCCTAGATCAAAAGAAATTTCCAACCTATAATCACCTCCCAATTGAAGCGATGCCTAAGGACAGTGACCTCGAGTGCGACACGCAGCAAACGCTTTGCCCCAAAACAGATTCAGAAGTGTCGTCTTGACGACACTTCTCGTGTCGCGCCGTGCGAAATATGTTTCATATAATTGTACGTATTTTATACGTGAAGAGACACTTCTCGGTCGCGTCGGCGGTCGTCTGTCGCGCCTACCGAAATGATACCTTTAAAGTAATTTTTCCTTGTGGAATGTTAATTATTTTATTAGTTTGGCAGTTATTTCATCCCTCAAAAACCATCGATTTAACAAGCCATTAGTATTTTGCACAAAAAAACTAAAACATTTAATCAACAACAATGATGATTGCAATTCGCCTGGCACATCGTCATTCGTATTATAATACGACGGATTCTAAAACACATGCGCGTCGGTTCAATTTAACAATAAGACTAACAAGCGGCAGGCTTATTATGATACGCCCGAAATTATCAGTCAAATTGTGAGATTCTTAATTATTTGAGTAGTATTGTGATATGCCTAGTCGTATTGAAAAAGCCTAGACGTATTATAATAAGACTGATTTTATAATAAGCCTACGACATATATATTACATTAATTATAGACAGTGGTAACATTTCAGGACTATGTAACAGAGTTACCATATATTGAAAGAATTTGGTTTTTTTATAAACATTATGCAAATAAAATGTTGAAGTCATGGTAATTTTATCATACACAAATACACCCAGTATTGCCAATATGTTTGTAGCCGCTGTGAAAGTAGATAGTGCGTTTTTTTAGCAATTGGTGTAGGTATTTCTGTGTTCCGAAAATAGTGCTCATTCGCGCTGGATTCAATCTTGCCAAAAAGGCCAAAATATGCAACAAATATCATAACAGACGTCCAGTAACCCAGTAAGAACTTGAACAATACTTATTTGACTCGAATGATGACGTAGCAGATCTTAATTTAGTACAATGGTAGCGAACAGGGCCGGTTTTACCTAACATGAGGCCCTAGGCGCCAGACAATTTTGAGGCCCTTTGTTAAGCATCTATTTTATAATATTATTACTATATAAACCTTGGAACATATCAACTATAGAGTTAACAGGGTGTTTCGTGATATATTTTAAATCGAATTTCAGTCACAGCCAAGGGAGAAAATAAAAAAAGTTTTTTTTTTATTTTATAATACATTTTATTTAAATCTAATAAA